TATATATATATATATGTGTGTGTGTGTGTGTATATATATAATCAAGATCAGTACTGCCTGTGCTTTCAGGTGTCCCTAGGGTCTTGGAACATATTCCCAGGTCAAGGAGCGCTGGAAGTTTGGTGTGAAGCAGGAGGGAAGAGTGGGCAGTAAGGCAAGGGGAAGGTGATTGGGCAGCGTGGGCAGGTTAGGTCTGGTGAGAAGCAGCGTAGAAAGGGAGGCGCTAGAGAAATTCTAGAAGGGGGCATCCTAGAGTGGTGTGATTTCTGAGGAAACAAGAAGGTCAAGAGGCCAGTCAGTGCACAGGTGAGAAGACTGGCCAGAGACAGGCTGAAGGAGATAGTTCTGTGAGAGCAGAAGGGAAGCTGATGAAATGTTTAGAATGAGGACAAGGGCCGGGGATTTAGCCCAGTGGTACCGCCACCTACCTCGCAAGCACATGATTCTGAGTTCAGTCTCGGTAACAAAAAACAAAAACAGAAAAAGAAAAAGAAAAAGAAAATGTTTTCCTGCCTCACCACATGGCTTGGCTGTATAAAACATCTTTGAAAAGTGGGGTGGGTGGGCAACCCACTTTATAGTCCCCCTTCTGTCTCTCTTAGAAGTTTTCTTTCCCTCACATTTTTCCTACTCTTAAAAAAAAATGAGGACAGTATTATTATGGATTGGGTTCCTGGAGGGGCAGTGATAACTATTTTAGTATCACATAAGGGCCTAAATTATTGGGTACAGATATATTATCTTCCTGTCCAAAGGGTTATATTAGCCTTACTACAAGGGTGAACTTTGATTGTGTAAAAGAATAATTTAGACTTTGTATTTCATCTAATCTGATAAAGAATCACAGGGTTATATATTTAATTTGTTAAGGTGCTGTTTCTTTTATTTCCATATAACAGCTCTTTTTCTTGTTTTCCGTAGGCTTTAGTGAAGCATGTCCAGTCTAAAGGATATCCAAATGAACGTTTTGAACTTCTCACCAACTTCCCTCGGAGGAAACTCTCTCACCTGGACTATGACATTACATTACAGGAGGCAGGCCTTTGTCCTCAAGAGACTGTCTTTGTACAGGAGAGAAATTAACACCTTGGCCTGACCTCTCTCAGCTTATCCCCTTTCCCTTGTGATATTCCATATCACTACGTATGCATTTGGCTCATAGAATGAGAGAGCCAAAGTTGGGCAAGCAAGTCACCTGCCTTCTCTTTATTTCTTGTTCTCTTCTGTAATTAGTCTCTTCCTCCCACCCTTTCCTCTCCTGATCGACTTTTTCCATGTTCTTTATTTCTTATCTAATCTGGTGACCAAATGGAAGTGTAAGAATAAGATCTCTCCTAGTACTGACAGCAGGAAATGTGTGTCTGATAAGTGGTCTTTTGCACAGCGTTTTTTCAGGATCAGATGGTATTATTCCTCAGACTCCTTTGATAAATAATAACTATATTCAAAATAAGAACAACCTCCCTTTTTAATGAGCCCCCATTTTTAGTAGGGAGAAGAAGTTCTGAACACGTTTTTGTTGTTCTTCATGTAGGAAACATCACATAACAAAATACCTAGGCTTTTGTTTACATGGACATAGCATTGTTTATATTATTGCTCATATGTAAAAAAAAAAATTTTGTAAAAGATATCCATCTTCCCAGCTACAGATTATTTCCATGCTGTGTGTTATTGGCAGAATGAGTGTTTGGTGTAAGACGTGTAGTATGGGGTGGCTTTCAATGTCCTAGCCTGACACAACTTTCTTCATGATTACTCAGTTAAGTCTATTGATCCTGCTAGTCATAGAATGGACATTTAGTGAGCATATTGTGGTGATGGATAGGAATGTGCTTGCTGTTTTTGCCAGTAGAGCATATTAGTCCTTTGGCTCCTCCATTGTCTGAGCCCACATTGAGCTGTAGAAGGCCAGCTATTCAATAATCATGCAGTACAATGGCTTGTGATTGTAACCACTGTGGTTATTGATAGTCCTATGTGCTCAAGGCATACTTAGGTATGTCCCAGGGGAAAGAAAAACCTGCAGCTCAGAGTTGCTAACCATGTTCCTTTGGTTAGAAATAATGATTCTTTTTTTTTAACCACTGGTTGAAATAGTTTCTAAAGGCTCTGGTAACGGACCTTAATTTTTTATTTGATTTTTCCCTCAAAACTGAAAGTCTGCAAGGGGGAAGATGTTTAAACTCAGCTCATAAGACAGCATTTAGATGTTGGAGGTTACAGTCATCTTCAGATGACATGGGATTTTCTGCCAACAAAAGCCACATTCAGCCTGTAGCTGGTGAAAACCTTCAGTGTTATCTTAAGAGACCACCTTGGATCTGGATAATACTGTTGGTCTATGAGCTTTGCAGTGCTCAGTTCCTACTTGAGCTTTAAATAGAGTCGTCTAGTTGGAAGTAGTGATCTAGTGGCAAAATCAGAAATTAACTCATGCTACTTTTTGTCAGTTGGGGACATTAGTTGATTCTTCTATAGGAGGCACATAAATTGCTGTTGCTCAGAGACCTTTAGAATGCTGTTGACTTGAAGATTGCTTTCTTGGCAACCAGGGGATTTTTAAAAAATGATATTGTGTGTTGCTAGTCCATAATTATAGAACATGGTTTTTAATGGTTGGATTTTGAGGACCCTCCCTGAAGAATGAGTTATGTATCTCCTCAAGGAAATCATGGGAAATTCTGTTATTCTTCAGTGAGTCCTTTTGAATTAATGTTCCTACATTTTTTTCTAAGTCCGTGTAAGTGCTTATGTATAAGTATATAATTGTATAAATATTTATAAATATATTTATATAATTACAGTTTCATTTATACCTGAGTCAAAGTTCTCTCTGTAGATTGGTGACTGAGTAATACCACTTGGGTGTTTTTCATAGGCTCTTAAGGCTTAACTAGCAGCTTCTGATCTGTCGTATCTCTGAACTTGGATGATGTACTTGCTGTCTGAGGATATGCTGTCCACTCTCAAAGGTACGATGGAGGGTACAAAAACTTGGTGGTGGTAGTCAAGGTTAAATCTAAAAACCAAGGTGACACAGGGTAAGAAGTGATGGTTTGTGCAGCCTTGTGCCATGAGGCACGTGTCTTCACTCCCAGCACAGTCACAGCTGAAGCCCAAACTGGTCCAAACTGTGTAGTCCACAGTACTCACTCTAGGACTCTCCTTTGTATTTTTCCTACCAGCTTTTCTGAGCCACATCTTGACAGCCTGTGGCAGCATGTTGATAAAGGAGAGGACAAAGCACTAGTGAGACACCAAAGTAACTTTTCAACCTGGGTTAGCGTGAGATGACCAATTATATGTATGTTTTAAGGTACAGACAAAGTGATATATTCATCCAACTTAGATGCAGTCCAGCATGTTTAGAGGACAAGATGTAGAGGGTTTTATTTCGTGTTGAGGCAGGTGTGTCATTATCTCTGGGTTGTAGGCCCTTGGGGAAGAGCTCTGGCTTTTATACCAGAAGACCGACTTGGGAGGGTTGCCTTGCTAAAGAGCCTCATCTATTTAGGGAGGATGCTTGCTCCCATTTGCTGCCTGTTTCCTCTGCAAATTCCTTTGCTCTCTGGAGGAAAGGTTTGATTGAAAAGATTAAATGAAGTCATCAAGGTTGGTAAATAGTCATTCCCCCTATAGTTATGGGAACGGTTTAAAAGAGAATTTAACAGGTCAAGAGAGAACAGGTGTTTTTTGAGCATGACTGAAATATCATAGCAGGATAGAATGAAAACTAGTGAGAAAAAAGTGAGAGAGGAATGCTTGTGAGTTTGACTTAGGAAGAACCCAGGGAAGGGAAATCACAGTGCCACAGAGAAACAGAACAGGGAACACGTTTAGCGTACGTAGCATGTGCTATGTAGTCTATGTGCACTCTCCCCTTAAGTCTTCCTGCAGACTCCATGCGTGTGGCCTTCCCCTGATTAATAAACAAGGAGGAAAACTCAAGGGCACGTTCAGGATACTCAGCCCCAAGTGAAATGTCACAGTTGGAATCCAAAGCCCTGCCTTCCCACTCCTTTGCTGTGCCCTTCCACCTGCAGGGACTCAGTTTGCCCAAAAGGTTGGCCTCTGTAAGTTAGCATTTGGCTGTGTTTCCTTAAAGGTAGGGGGAGTAGTTGAGGAAAAGCTTGTGGATCTTGCGTATAAATTCTTATTTATGCCATTATTTTCAGAGACTAATTATTAATTGCTTTTTTAAAAATGATGCACTGATGAAAATGTGAAAGGAAAATAACTATGTGACATTATTTGCCAAGAATAAATCTAAAGGATAAAAAAGAACTTTTATCTTTTTTAACTATTTTTCAGAAAAGATGTAATTATTCTTTTCTGTGTCCAATCCATGCTAGATTATTGAACCCTCCCTGTGTGTTTTAAATCTGTAAAATTTTGCTTCCTGACTATAAAAGGCAACAGTTACCTATTGAGTTCTGAATCAAAATAGGAAATATTTTGAAGTCTATTAAGAACTGATTCTTGACTTTTATCCAGTTAGGCAGATGGATTACAAATGAGATAATTGGAGAATATGTAAATGTTTGCATTTCTGGGCTTGTATTGTAATTCAGTAGCACTTTAGAAAAGGGAAGGAATAGTTTCGGTTTTAGTTAGTAAAGTCTTCACAAAGAAGTAAGACCGAAAGGTGAAAAACATTGTGGCTCAAATCTTTGTTGATTCGTGTACATTCTTTAGGTCCACCTATTGTAGCTACTGGATTTTAAGGCATGACATTTCATCAGTAAGGCATATAACCAGTACCCAAGTAGGAAAGGATTACTGTATCAATCTCTGGCACTAAAGACTCTTTTGGGCCGGGCATGGTGGCGCACGCCTGTAATGCCAGCACTCGGCAGGCTGAGGCAGGAGGATCTCTGTGAGTTCGAGACCAGCCTGGGCTACAAAGTGAGTTCCAGGTCAGTCTCAACTACATAGTGAGACCCTGTCTTAAGAAACAAAAAAAAAACCACAAAAAAATAGAGTGGGGAGGGAAGGGTTGTTGTTTGTTTTGTTTTGTTTTTTGGTGGGTTTTTGTTTTTGTTTTTTGTGGGTTTTTGTTTGTTTGTTTTGTTTTGTTTTTTGAGACAGGGTCTCACTATGTAGTGAGACTGACCTGGAACTCACTATGTAGCCCAGGCTGGTCAACTCACAGTGATTCTCCTGCCTCAGCCTCCCCGGTGCTGGGATTATAGGCGTGTGCCACCACACCCGGCCTCATTTACCTGAATTATTTAAACACTTATTGGGATACATATATTTTTAAAATTATTGTGTCTTTTGGGAGAACTGATCGCCTGTAATGCCAGCACTCGGCAGGCTGAGGCAGGAGGATCTCTGTGAGTTCGAGACCAGCCTGGGCTACAAAGTGAGTTCCAGGTCAGTCTCAACTACATAGTGAGACCCTGTCTTAAGAAACAAAAAAAAAACCACAAAAAAATAGAGGGGGGAGGGAAGGGTTGTTGTTTGTTTTGTTTTGTTTTTTGGTGGGTTTTTGTTTTTGTTTTTTGTGGGTTTTTGTTTGTTTGTTTTGTTTTGTTTTTTGAGACAGGGTCTCACTATGTAGTGAGACTGACCTGGAACTCACTATGTAGCCCAGGCTGGTCTCAACTCACAGCGATCCTCCTGCCTCAGCCTCCTGAGTGCTGGGATTACAGGTGTGCACCACCATGCCCAGCTCTAAAGATTCTGAACTAGCAGGGATGTCACTTGGACTAAGAGAAATACCAGAGGGAGCCACTAGGAATTAAAAAATGAAGGAAAGTTTTAACTTATCTACCCAGGTACAGATGAAATGTAGAGTGAATTATATATGGTGTGCAGGAAACGCACTGTGTGGAGGGCAAGTGCACTTTGGGTAAGAGCTCTGCTATAACTGTTACCTTGTAAGGTCTCTTCCTACCTCTGAGTCTTGGGGTCCTCATCCCCATAATAAGAACAGTAGACAATAGTGCTCAGTCTTTGCCAGGGAAAGGACTTACATTTTTAATTTGGTGTGGGTGGAGAAGTGTGGGGTTAACTATTAAGTTATTAATTCCTTAGAGAAAATCTAAATGTGCACCTAGAATTTCAGAGCCTTGCAGAAACTTGAGGACCCCCACACACACAGTAGACCACCAATTACATTATCTCTGAAGTCCTTTTCCACTCCAAATTTTTGTGTCTAGTCTATTCCCTTTATTATATATTACCCCTCGGCTAATTAAAAATGTTCTTGTTAATCAGTTCCTTTGCCTTTTTTCTGTGTACAGTTATCATTTGTCCAGGAACTTGATGTAACCTCATTGTAATGACTGAAATCCCCCAAAAGGAGAATGTCATAGGTGTAGATCTAGTTCTCATTGTTTATGAATTGTTTGTATTGTGTGCCTGCCTAATCAGTGTTGAGTACAACTAAGGTGTAATTAATGCAAACTAAATATGCTGCTGACACTGGAGTTGAATTTTATCTTGTATGCTTTAAAATAACTGCTCTACTGGCTCAGCAATTACTGGGGAATTGGTTTGTTAGAATTTACACTTGGTTTGGGCAGAACCAACTTTTTCAAGATCTCATTCAGCTGACTCTTTAAAATGGCTTGTGTGTTCACCCCTCCTTTTTGGTCATCTTTCCTTTAACTTTTGAATAAAAATGTCTTGTGTGAAACTGAGTGAGGAGGGCAGGAGGAAGCAGCCCATCTGAGGAACGTGGCACTTTCCCAGTAATGGAAGCTCCATGAACTGGCTGCTTAAGACAACTGTGGGCTGTGAATATTCAGCTCTGTCAGTTTGCCTTGCTGAGCATTTCAGTTGTTCTTTTGCCAAGAAACTTAGTAGTATTGCACAGTACACACTTTAGAAGGTGGCAAGAACATTCATCAGAAATGAAAATAACAATAGAGAATAATATTCCAATACTGTATGTTGATTTCTTCTATTGTACGGAGGTTTGGCATTTCAATAATGGTTATGTTGGTTTTTTATTTACTCATGTGTCAGTCCTGCTCTGAGAGACAGTTTGGAATCAAGAATTTTGTTTTTGTTTTTTTCAGATAGGGTCTCACTATGTACCCCAGGCTGGCCTTGAACATGCGTCAGTCCTTCTCTGTCAGACTCCTAAGTGCTGGGATTACGGGCATGTGCTACCGTGCCTGGTAATAGAATCAAGAATTTTTAAAAGTAGAGGTTATGATGGCCTGGCTTTCCCATGAAGTGAACTCATG